ACAAGTTCCCAGCATGGTTGTTGACCCGCAGTTCGATTTATGATCAGTTGTCGAGTGTGTGTGTGTGTGTGTGTGTGTGTGCATGACGGTTCTGTACTGCGGGCCAGTCCTATAGAATTGTGTGTTTTTGTGGTGTTATTTGGCCCCCAGTTCCCAACCGTATGAAACTTTTGCTTATGTCGGATGAGGTGTGCATGCTGTTATAGCGCATGTCCACACTGTTTGTGCAGTTTCGTTGAATGCATACACGACCATAATGTCTAACAGTAAGTGGTTATGTGTGTGCGTTTATGTTCAATATTGCATGCTGGTCTTCTTGTGGTCGTCGACGAGTATGTCAGTCTGACCAGACTCTCTCTCTCTCTCTTTCTGTGTGTGTGTGTGTGTGTGTGTGTGTGTGTGTGTATGTGTGTGTGTGTGTGTGTGTGTGTGTGTGTATGTGTGTGTGTGTGCACATTTGGGTCCAGGCTTTGTGCATGTTCGTCCACTACTTAGCCTTTGGCAGTTGTCACCACATACAAGAAAGACAAATACTATGGCGCTGTATTTTCTCATGTTAAGGCAGAAAATACATTCTCATTCTCCACATTTGGTGATGTGGAGTAACGCCCAGCGACGGGTACTCCAGAAACACATCGCAGATTGGTAGATTGTAATCATTGCAGGACCTTTTAGGCGGTTTTCATAATTCCTCAAAAAACTTCAAAATGGTGTGACACGGTGTCACCCCCTCCCCCGTCGCATTGTGCCGCACCGGTAGAGCAATCAAAACCAAACTCGTGCTAGTGGGGCTTCGCTGCCGGATTCGGAAATATTCATTGCTCCTGGAAAAAAAAAAAAGGCGATTGCCTTGAGCTATTATCATCAGACTAACCAGCCCAGGTAAATTCAATCATGTGTCTAATTTGACACCGGGTAGCCTTTCCAGGCCAGGGTGGCTTTATTGCCGTAGGGGAACCCCCAATGGGAGCACTTGCCAGGGGACAGCCGGTAGCAGAGGAACAAATTTAAGGGTCAGACGAACCCCGGGGGTTTCTCAGAACCTTGAAAAGTTGCAGAGGGGCACGACAAGAAAAATCAGTTGTTGAAGGGGCATGCCGCAAATAGATGGATTTTAGAGGGGCATTTCCAAAAAAAATCCAAATTTTTTTAAGGCCCACGCTCCAATACTAATTTTTGTTTTTGCCACGCAAGGCCCAAAAAGATTTCAAAATTGTTTTCGGCGGGGGGTTGGGGGGGGCACATTCAAGTTTTTTCGTTGCTACCTACCCGATACTGGAAGGGCTTGGGGTGGTCGTTTGTTCATTGGTGTTGCAGCCACGTCCATTGAGGAAGAAGGAAGCAACGTTGTCATTCGGCCTCGAAGAAAGCGTCGACGTCTCCCTGCGTTTGCACCATCACGTGGAAGACGCGACCATACTCCCCTTCTGCAGCCGCTGGTCAGCTGCCTCCAAGGTGAGTCTTCACCATCCCTCCTACTCTCCCTCGAACTCACCTCCTCCTCCTCCTCCTTCAAGTCCTCCTCTCCTCCTCCTCCTTCCCTCCTCCTCCTCCTCCTCTTGTCCTCCTCATCATCTGTTCTTTTCCGATAGTATGGGGAGATGGAAAAACAAGGTGGGGGTCGAAAAGACACATTGGAGGGACCCCGCCAAAATTGATGCGAAGGTCAAAAAATTTTTTTTAGGCCCGCGCTCAAGGCTGGATCGCGAGGTTTCAAATTTTCAAAACCTGCTTGTGTTGTGTGTGGGTGGGCCTCTTGGGTAGGTTTCTGGCCGGTCACGGCCATTCCTGCGAGGAGTGTTGTTGTCGTTTCAAGGAGGAGTTGTCGTCGTTCTCAAGTGTCGCCCCGTGCTGAAGTGTTGTCATGTTGTTGTGCTGCCTTGTGAGGGAGGAGCTGCCGCCATGGCCCGGTGAGTATCACCGGCCTTGACCTCCCCTTCATCCTCCTCATTGCCTCCTCTGCATGCTTCTCCTCTCCTCCCGCTCGTCCTCCTTCCCTTCCTTGTCGCCCTCTTAGGTCCCTTCTTGTAACATGACCACTACTGCGGGGGCGGCGCGCCGGGGAGGCAAAAGGCTGTTTTTTTCATGGCTGCTATGCAGACATCCGGAAGCCCATCCAGTCGGTCTAGGGTCCCAGACACTGGGCCGTAGGAGGCCAGTCCTGGGGTGAAGTCCCACTGCCCAAGTTTAAGTTTAGAAAACACAACCGTGTGACACCATTTTGACATTAATAAATTCGAAACAAGAAATTAAAAAACTGAAAAAAAACGTTAGAAACAACTTTTCTCCTTATTTTTGAACTCCGGGAAATGAAACACGTCTGGCACAGTCGGAGTGAATGTGTCCGTGGAAAAGGGATACTTCTTGTGGTGAGGGGACAAAAGGTCACCATTCGTAAAATGGACAAGGACAACATGGATGGTCTGATGCGTTCATTGCCCAGAGAAGGAAGAGAGTTTGATGCAAGAGACCCAAACACATCTGTCAAAGTTCCTCCGTTTTAGGGTGTAATGATGTCTGGAAAAAAAAACGAAAGGCAAATAAGTTGAGAAATGTACCCTACCCTAGGTAGGGTAGTTTTCTCAATGGAAAATGGCTTCCTGCCCAAACGGAAAGGACCAAAGCATACCACAAAACGGATTTTACCTCAAAGAAAAAATGTACAAAACTATCAAATCTAATAGGTTATTCTCCTGTATTTCGGTACCCTTACATTCTCAATACATCAATGGCATAGCTCCATCCCACGATGCCACACGTGATAAAAAGCTCAGCGTTGAGAAAACTCAACTTCGGCGGTGGGACTTCACCTCTATAGGGGCTGAAATCCAACTTTTGAAAGAAAAAGGGGGGCACCTTGGACCTGTTCCTAAGATCCACTACGCCCCCCTAAAAAAATTGGTACCGGGCCCGCAATTTTTTTTTTCAGGGTTGTCCCAAGGCCCGTATACCCAGCAAGGAGGAGACCAGAAACAATTGAACACATTTTTCTACAGTGCCCTGGGTCAGTCTGGTTATGGAGATGGTGGGACCGGGTGTGGAGCCTGCTAGGCACAACAACCCCATGGCCGTGGAACTGACAATCAATCCTGTGTGAAGCCTGGCTGTCGGAACAAGCAAGCACCTTTGAGAAAAATATGTTTGCAGTCGGACGCAGTCCTTTGGGTGATCTGGTGGGAAAGGTGCACCAGGGAGATGGAAGAAGTCCGCATTGAAGGTCCAACAGTCATAGAGACAATCAAACACCAGATCCAGGTAGACCTCACAGTGCAATGGGAAAAAATAAAAGAAAAAATAACCTTTATGCATTCAAGAACAGAAAAACAGAGTTTCGATCGCCACGCTGCTGCGATCCGCAACCTACTGCGTCTACGGGCGAGAGAGAAGGAGTGGAAAGAGAGAAGGAAGAAGGGAGAGAGGGAGAAGGAAAGGGTGACAGAGAGAGAGCTCGAAAGGAGGAAGGCAAGACAGTGAGCGAGAGAAAGATCGGGAGGGTGGTCGAAAGGAGGAGGCAGGACAGTGAGCGAGAGAAAGATCGGGGGGGTGGTCGAAAGGAGGAGGCAGGACAATGAGCGAGAGAAAGGGAATGAGAGCGTGCGCTGTTGTGGTTTGCAGCCTAGTGAATCCACGGGCGAGGGAGCAAGAGTGGGAAAGAAAGAGAGAAGAAGGGAGAGAGAGAGAGAAGGAAAGGGTGACAAAAGGGAAGAGCGCTTGGCACTAGCCTTCTGCCCACGATCGGAGTTGGAAAGGGAGAGAAAGAGGCAGAGAGAAAGAGGAGAGCCAAGGAAATTGGAAAGAGAGAGGGAGAGCAAGGCTCAACGAGAGAGTAGATCAATAAGGCAGCAGGCAGTCAATCAGGCAGCAGGTAGTGAGCAGCGGAGAGTCGTTCAGAGATCGAGCAGTGGAGGACGAACAGAGATCGCGCAGCGGAATCAGGTCCTTGTCTCTCCCAACCGACTTACCAACCCCGCCCCTCTCCCCGTGGGTACCCCCCTCCAGCCATCCTTGCTCAAGTTATAAGGAGAGCAAAGGAGTTATAAAACATATATATAGATATATATAATAAATAATAATAACTAACACACAAAAGATACACACAAAACCATAGTAATAACTAACACACAAAAGACACACACAGAACCAGGAAATGTTGGGGAGGAGTGGTATAATGATGAAAAAAGGAAGGAGTGGCAAATCTCTCCTCTACTATAGCGGGGCTATGAGGTACGACCCTGGTCGATATGGAAAGTGGGCAAGGATAGGGTGGGGAGAAGGGAAGGAAGAGTTGTCTGTTATACCAAGAACGGAAAGCACAGAAAAGGGGGGGAAAGGCGAAATGGAAAAAGGGATCCGCCCAGGGGGAGGCGAGAAAGAGGAGGGAGGGATGGAGAAGAGAGTGGACACGGAAATGAAGGAGGCAGGGGAGGTACTTACGGAAGAGGAACTAGTTGTTTTCCTTTTTTCTTATTTCTTGTTGTTGTCGATCCCCGAGTGGGGTGGCGGTTGTC